CTGGTCACACTCCACTAGTCACACTCCACTAGTCACACTACACTGGTCACACTCAACTAGTCACACTATACTGGTCACACCACACTAGTCACACTCCACTGGTCACACTACACTGGTCACACTCCACTGGTCACTCCACTTGTCACACTCCACTGGTCACACCACACTAGTAGTAGTACGATCCACGTGTCTCTAAGGCGCGTGACATCCGATGACTGGGAGTGAAATTAACTCCTCGTCAAGCTGTGCAGTTACATACTCATCACTTTAGCCAGAATAAAGATGATACAATATACCCTGCCTTCGGTAACGGTCAGGAGAGATAGCAATGATTATAACTCCCCTCTCGCCTACATAGCCGTGTGTTAACTGTTGATTTGATGGGTTGAATTCCTATTTCTAGGTCAGTAGTATGTTTGTTTTACTGATGGCTATTGACACAATGACCAATCGGTTTTTCATATTCTGTCTAAGAAGTAGTTTTCACGGAGAGAACAAGCAGTCTGTCGTTTTTGTGTTAAACGGGATTTTCAATTAACCTTTATCACAAAAAATCATATTAACACACCCTGTTCCCGCATTATTACATTCGCGAGTTTCGTTAAAAAGAATTACACAAGAAAAAGAAAAAAAATTACAAAAGAAAAAAGAATCCTTCAATCTATCATTTCATATATATAACATGTTTATAATATTTCTGTATGTTATGACTAAATGTATCACCAGACATGCTGTTTTCAGCGGGTAGTTTTATTGATATATTTCCCCATTACTTTGTTTTATTATGTATATCACTTTAAAAAAAATAGTGTATTCATTCTTTACAACACATGGCTTCCAAACTAATAACACAGGGTTCCTGAAGATTATGGACAAGTTTTTGGACACCATCAAGATCTGGCGGAGGCTACAGGTATTTCTGTGTGAGGTATGAAGATCGATTGTATGATATACATGCACAAAAACTTCTGTCTAAAATACAGAATTCCCCAAAAGGAACATTGTATCAGCATTTAGTAGATAATTTTGGTCTGCAATACTACCTGAAAAAACCCTATTGATCAGTTGCATAATAACAGTACTTCATGAATTCGCTTAAGCGCCCACAAGCTCAATATTCAAAGATACAATAATTTAGCTAGGTCCAATAAAGTTGGTACATTATGTGATACTCATGATATTCAGGATGAGTTTCACTTCATCCTTAAGTGTCCTATTTATGTAGATTTACGGGTGAGATACCTGAAGCCATATTATTTTAGTCGTCCCAGTGTATTTAAACTTGTTCAATTGCTTAGTGCTAATATTATGTAAAAGATTTGTGTAATCTTGGTAAATATATAATATTTGCTTTTAAGAAGCGCTCTCAGTCATTATGGTATTATCACATTCTTGTGTGTGTATGTTATACGAGTAAATACAATTATCACTCTTCTGTTCATCATTACTCTGTTTAACCTGTTAATATGTATTAATATTGTGTTTTGTATCTCATTTGTCGTAAGGCTTACAGAATAAACTAATTGAATCGAATTGATGTTATATTATTATGCTCATTAGATTGCCTTATGGTTTTGTTGTCACTAGCCGAACTCTCGATGTGAGGACGTGACATTATTTGTACCTGGATATGACCCAGAAGCAGAAGACGCTTACCCTTCCAGAACACCTGGTCTTGCTCAATATTTCTTTTGTTTATCTTTTGCCCTTGTGTTTTCGGTTTTGAGTTCGAATTATGAGTTTTTGACATATTCTCTTGTTTTGTTTATGTATAAATTTGAATGTTCACTCTTCAAGAATATTAACGCGAAAATACTTATCATGCAAAAATATGTAACGGACAGTTCAATGACCTTTGATGTCCCAGCGGACATGTACACATTATAATATCCATTGCATCAATAATAATTGACGACTAATAAGGTATCCATTTCTTATAACTAAAAGTGTATGATATATAAACTAAACTGTGTAGCATTAGTTCAAAACAGAAGCTTTATAAAGATCAGTGTTCGCCTGCTAGACATACTCCACATTGGTGCTATGACATATAAGTCTGTATACGTTCCATCGTTCGAGCTTTTAGATTTTTATAAATTGTAAAAACCATCAATGATAAGAAACATATAATATAAATTATAAGCCAGACAAAACGTGACCTGCATTTAAAACCTCAGTATTTAAAATTCATCTAAGAATCAGAGTGACTTAAAATAGCTCGAAAGAATTATTGGAAGCATCCTCAGTGTAAAGTTGAACGTATGTTTTAGTAAGCAGGGTATACATGTTAGAAATACCGTTTAGTGTATGTAAACGAAGAAAGTAGGCTTTATCAGAATATCTTAAACACTGTTTCATTTCAACAGATTATAGCAGAGTGTAATAACAATGTCTGCTTCAGCAGTGTATACGTTTTGGACGCATCCTTCAGCATAATGGAATTATATGATATATCCATTAATGGAGTAGTGTAAACTGAAATTAAATCCTTCAGTAGAACGTTAAGTCGTCAGCTGAACAAACAAACTACACGCTCTTCTGGATGGTCGAACTACACGCTCTCTTGGATAACCAAACTACACGCTCTTCTGGATGGTCGATTTACGGGTGAGATACCTGAAGCCAACAACACGCTCTGGTGGATGGTCGAACTACACGCTCCGCTGGATGGTCGAACTACACGCCCTGCTGGATAACAAAACAACACGCTCTGGTGGATGGTCGAACTACACGCTCCGCTGGATGGTCGAACTACACGCCCTGCTGGATAACCAAACTACACGTTCTGCTGGATGGTCGAACTATACGCTTTGCTGGATGGTCGAACTACACGCTCTCTTGGATAACCAAACTACACGCTCTGGTGGATGGCCGAACTACACGCTCCGCTGGATGGGCGAACTACACGCCCTGCTGGATAACAAAACAACACGCTCTGGTGGATGGCCGAACTATACGCTTTGCTGGATGGTCGAACTACACACCCTGCTGGATAACCAAACTACACGCTCTACATGATATCCGAACTACACGCTCTGCCGGACAATCGAACTAGTCGGTCAGCTGAATTAACTAACTAGTCAGCCAGCTATGTAACATAACTACTCGGTCAGCTGAATTGACTAACTAGTCAGCCAGCTATGTAACATAACTACTCGGTCAGCTGAATTAACTAACTAACCAGCCAGCTATGTAACATAACTACTCGGTCAGCTGAATTAACTAACTAGTCAGCCAGCTATGTAACATATAATCGGTCAGCTGAATTAACTAACAAGCCAGCCAGCTATGTAACATATACTCGGTCAGCTGAATAAACTAACTAGCCAGCCAGCTATGTAACATAACTACTCGGTTAGCTGAATTAACTAACTAGTCAGCCAGCTATGTAACATATACTCGGTCAGCTGAATTAACTAACTAGTCAGCCATCTATGTAACATATACTCGGTCAGCTGAATTAACTAACTAGCCAGCCAGCTATGTAACATAACTACTCGGTTAGCTGAATTAACTAACTAGTCAGCCAGCTACATAACATAACTACTCGGTCAGCTGAATTAACTAACTAGTCAGCCAGCTATGTAACATAACTCCTCGGTCAGCTGAATTAACTAACTAGCCAGCCAGCTATGTAACATAACTATACGGTCAGCTGAATTAACTAACTAGCCAGCCAGCTACATAACATAACTACTCGGTTAGCTGAATTAACTAACTAGCCACCCAGCTACATAACATAACTACTCGGTTAGCTGAATTAATTAACTAGCCACCCAGCTACATAACATAACTATACGGTCAGCTGAATTAACTAACTAGCCAGCCAGCTACATAACATAACTACTCGGTCAGCTGAATTAACTAACTAACCAGCCAGCTATGTAACATAACTACTCGGTCAGCTGAATTAACTAACTAGCCAGCCAGCTAAGTAACATAACTATACGGTCAGCTGAATTAACTAACTAGCCAGCCAGCCAGCTACATAACATAACTACTCGGTCAGCTGAATTAACTAACTAGCCAGCCAGCTACATAACATAACTATACGGTCAGCTGACTTAAACTTCACGGCTTCTTAATAACTGAACTATATACGGTCTGCTGATTAGCTGAACTACACGGTCTGCTGATTAGCTGAACTACACATTCTGCTGATTAGCTGAACTACATGCACGGTCTGCTGATTAGCTGAACAACACGGTCTGCTGATCAGCTAAACTAATCTGTAGTGAAACGGACGTAAAACAGACAAGATTTTTAATAACATAGGATTGATCCTGTAGTAAAATGTACACATACGAGTATAGCTTAGTAGTGTAATTTAAAATTTAAATGTAGGATATTCCCTTTAGTAAACTTACATGTACCTTTTAGCGGATTATATATATAAAATGTATCCCTGGTGTGTGATTTCGTATGTTTCAGTTAGCTTGATAATGTTTGATTTATAATAAGCTCACAAACATTGTGTAAGATGTCATGATAAATTGGCACTTTAAAATGACCTTTGAGCGGTTCATCATCTGTGGTTACCGTCGTCACATGCCCTTCATTGTTGTACAGATGTTACACCCGAAACAAACACTACAGACAAACGGATGTCGAAAGTGTGTGTAAGTACGATGGACCTATCTCTCCATGTGTTAACACACTAGTCCACCTTGTACGATTCAATTTAGATTTACATAACCACTTTTCTAAAACCATATCATTATGAAGCGTGTATTCAAAAAAACGTATCTCTTATTGAATGATTGATGAAAGCCAAAGTATTAACAAACTAAAAAATATGAAAATAAAAGAAAACATTTGTTTATACTGCGTAGGACTTTATAGGCGGCACAATAAGTGTAGTAATCTGAGATCAACATTGTTTATATACACTTGTATGAAAATATCATGTTATGTACGAAAATCATCTACATAACTTGGACAATTTTGAAACATTGACGATGGTCCACATTTAAATCAGTTATTAAACGGTCAATACTCACCTAGATGCAATAACATAGCCAAAGCCGATTTAGGATCCCTGTGAGCAGACGACTCGACGCAAAGAAAACACAATCAATACACGTATTAGCAAGGTTTCGAACGAGGATAAATGGATTTTAGAAATGCACATCAATGTTTGTTAAATCCATCGCAGATATTGAAGACAACAATTTGTTCCGTCTACATATTATTGTAGAGCTCGTTATACTGCAGAGCGAATTCATACGCGTCATCATATCCGGCAAATCACGTTCTGGCGAAACATCGAGAGGCGGATGAGGACGGTAGAGCGGCTCGGAACAACGCGCGCGGTCGTAGGTATCATTGTTAACACTATGTGTGCTTTAAGTCTTACCTGACAGGTGTATAACAGGTTAGAACCACTAAATATAGACTGACACGTGCAATACATGTAGATTAAATATAGCTAGTCTGTCATGTGTAAGACAGGTGGATAAATAAAAGCGTACTAGCACCTATAACCTGCCAGGTGAAATACAGGTAGATAAACTAAATGAGCAATTATGCTTTAACCTGTCAGGTGAAATACAGGTAGATAAACTAAATGAGCAATTATGCTTTAACCTGTCAGGTGAAATACAGGTAGATAAACTAAATGAGCAAGTATACTTTAACCTGTCAGGTGAAATACAGGTAGATAAACTAAATGAGTAATTATGCTTTAACCCGTCAGGCTAAAGAAGCACTAACGACTGAAGTCTGGCAGGTAAAATACAAGTAAATCAACTAAATAAATACTAACGATTTATAACCGGACAGGTGAATTACAGGTACATAGGATCTTTATAAGCGTTAATGACTTTAGCAGATATCGACTGTTTAATCGACATTTCCTGAAAGCTGCTACTGATAATCGATCAAATCTGTCGGTATGTGTCATACATCACGTGTCATTGTCTATTGTTACGTGTTAATTAGTTCAGGTGGAAAAGGTGTACATGTTTAATTGGTTCATTAGTGTCCCAATTATATTGTGTGAAGTATCCTGCCCCGTGGGTTATTTATACTACATGAAGCTACGTATATAGATACTGTCTAGAACAAAGCAATAACGGATTCTATAAATTATCGATTTCTCCGTCACGTCGGGAGTGCGGCATCAACAAATGGATGGGATTCAGGAGCGACAATGCACAACCTCATACCGTGCAGGTATCAGAGTATTTGGGACACGATCGGTAACTCTATCAGGTGTGTAAGAACTGACAAATGATGTAATGTTTGTCCGTCGCTTTAATGACGTCATAGGGAGCTGTTATCTTTTGTGTAGCCATATGATCCGTTGCAGGGGTGGTGACATGTAGGCACAAATTTGAAGGACAGTATTGACGAAATACGTCTTTCCACACAAAGTAGCTTGAGGTCAAGCGATAAATGCAGTAAATTGGTGATTGAAGGTAAAGCTAAGCTGCTGCTGCTGCTGCTGCTGTTTCTGCTGGTTGGTGCTGTTGTTTCTGCTGGTTGGTGCTGTTGTTTCTGCTGCTGCTGCTGCTGTTGTTTCTCCTGGTTGGTGCTATTGTTTCTGCTGGTTGGTGCATTGTAAATGCGATTGTCACATCGCAGTAACCCGTCCACACGGGAATACGACGAAAGATGGCAGGAAGATAGATTCTAAGTGGAGGTTGACTGGTGTACAGAGTCAAGGACTGCGATGACGAGGAGATTAAAGGTGATATCAGTCCGAACTTCAAAAGGTAGATGTCAAGACATGAATGAAGACCAGGAGTAATGGCCACAACAGAAACAACACTACGCGAAATCGCCTAATTGAACCAAGAAATTTAATTCGTGGGTATGCGCATCAGATATAACCGTTCTGTAGGAGAGTGAGTCTTTTTGACTTTTTGAAATAGAATCTATCGGCATCAGTGCGACGGAAAGACTGATGTTGACACAGAAATGTCTACCTTCAACATTAAAAAAGTAATAATAAAAACCAGCGTTATTTATTTTACAAAAAATATGAAACAAGATATATCAACCTATATTAATCAATCTTGTTGGCCCAGACGGCGCAGGGAGTGTTTATGAAGAAGGAACCAGGAGTACCTGGCTTTAACCCACGTGGTCGGGCAGGTAACCCAATGTACCTTTTCACGTCCGATCGGGAAATGTAACCCGTCCCCAGCTGTTTTGGTGAAAGGTGAGTGTGCATTGCACTGTGACATTTCAAACAAAATACTACAACTAACACATCAAACAACATAACACTCAACACAGTGCCAGCGACACGGTATAACACCGTTCAAAACAGTATACGTCATAGCACCGAACACCATGTACATCATAACGTACAGCACACCTTATACCACACATCACACTATACTCCAACTTTACTCTGAAACAAACACACAGCACAGTATACTCCAACTTAACTCTGAAACAAACACACTACATAGTATACTCCAACTTAACTCTGAAACAAACACAGAGCACAGTATACTCTAACTCCAACTTAACTCTGAAACAAACACACAGCACAGTATACTCTAACTCCAACTTAACTCTCAAACAAACACACAGCACAGTATACCCCAACTTAACCCTGAAACAAACACACAGCACAGTTTACTACAACTTAACTCTGAAACAAACACACAGCACAGTATACTCTAACTTAACTCTGAAACAAACACACAGCACAGTTTACTCCAACTTAACTCTGAAACAAACACACAGCACAGCATACTCCAACTTAACTCTGAAACAAACACACAGCACAGTATACTCTAACTCCAACTTAACTCTGAAACAAACACACAGCACAGTATCACACATGCAAGCCTCCCCCTCTCCTGCAGAATTGAGGGTGTTGTTTTAATTAACAAGGGAGATTCCAATTTAGTTTATGCTGCTTGTAAACATAAATAGGAGGGTTGGAGTAAGCAAGAGAATAACACCTACTAACTTTATGTAAATAGTCATAAGACTCAGGGTTAGGTGAGGTCAAGCTCTACTAATTTTAACCATTTTTCCCATTCAGAAGTAAATCTTCTAAGACATTGTTCCTCTTTACCATGAGCAATCTATTTCTGAACCTTATAGTAATCTTGAATCGAATTGACTAAAGCCGTCACAGTAAGTGACTTATGAAAACATCTGGTTTTGTATGTATATTGTTTAATGAACAGAATAATTTAATTAGCAATTTTGGTATAAATTCCAGTTTGGTTGATACAACCAAATATCAGTGATTCTTAATTTAGTGAGAAAGGAATGAATAGTGTCTAGAGCAATGCAATAACCCGTCATTGAAGTCTCACTTCAAAGACTTTCAAAATTGCTCAGAATTTGTTGTACTTCCCTGCATTCCCATAAAACGTGTGTAATTTTCTCCCTTTCTATGATACAAAAAACACAGTGTGAGTTATTTACAAGTCCAATTTTGAATAAATAAGAATTGGTTGTTAAAAAATAATAATTAATTAATAAATTGCAACCGGTGGCTGTTGTGTCTCCCTAGGCACCCGTCCTCATATGACTGGGGCTGTTGTATCTCCCTAGGCACCCGTCCTCATATGACTGGGGCTGTTGTATCTCCCTAGGCACCCGTCCTCATATGACTGGGGCTGTTGTGTCTCCCTACGCCCGTCCTCGTATGACCGGGGCTGTTGTGTCTCCCTAGGCACCCGTCCTCGTATGACCAGGGCTGTTGTATCTCCCTAGGCACCCGTCCTCGTATGACCGGGGCTGTTGTATCTCCCTAGGCACCCGTCCTCATATGACTGGGGCTGTTGTATCTCCCTAGGCACCCGTCCTCATATGACTGGGGCTGTTGTGTCTCCCTACGCCCGTCCTCGTATGACCGGGGCTGTTGTGTCTCCCTAGGCACCCGTCCTCGTATGACCAGGGCTGTTGTATCTCCCTAGGCACCCGTCCTCGTATGACCGGGGCTGTTGTATCTCCCTAGGCACCCGTCCTCATATGACTGGGGCTGTTGTATCTCCCTAGGCACCCGTCCTCATATGACTGGGGCTGTTGTGTCTCCCTACGCCCGTCCTCGTATGACCGGGGCTGTTGTGTCTCCCTAGGCACCCGTCCTCGTATGACCAGGGCTGTTGTATCTCCCTAGGCACCCGTCCTCGTATGACCGGGGCTGTTGTATCTCCCTAGGCACCCGTCCTCATATGACTGGGGCTGTTGTATCTCCCGAGGCACCCGTCCTCATATGACTGGGGCTGTTGTGTCTCCCTAGGCACCCGTCCTCGTATGACCCTGGTTGTTGTATCTCCCTAGGCACCCGTCCTCATATGACTGGGGCTGTTGTGTCTCCCTAGATACCCGTACACATATGACCCTGGCTGTTGTATCTCCCTAGGCACCCGTCCGCATATGACTGGGGCTGTTGTGTCTCCCTAGATACCCGTACACATATGACCATGGCTGTTGTATCTCCCTAGGCACCCGTCCGCATATGACTGGGGCTGTTGTGTCTCCCCAGGCACCCGTCCTCATATGACTGGGGCTGTTGTATCTCCCTAGGCATCTGTTCTCATATGACTGGGGCTGTTGTGTCTACCAAGACACCCGTCCTCATATGACTGGGGCTGTTGTGTCTCCCTAGGCACCCGTCCTCATATGACTGGGGCTGTTGTGTCTCACTAGGCACCCGTCCTCATATGACACTGGCTGGTATATCTCCCTAGGCACCCGTCCTCATATGACACTGGCTGGGGTATCTCCCTAGGCACCCGTCCTCATATGACACTGGCTGGTGTATCTCCCTAGGCGCCCGTCCTCATATGACACTGGCTGTTGTCTCTCCCTAGGGACACGTCCTCATATGACCCTGGCTGTTGTCTCCCTCGGCACCCGTCCTCATATGACTGGGGCTGTTGTATCTCCCTAGGCATCTGTTCTCATATGACTGGGTCTGTTGTGTCTACCAAGACACCCGTCCTCATATGACGGGGGCTGTTGTGTCTCCCTAGGCACCCGTCCTCATATGACACTGGCTGGTGTATCTCCCTAGGCACCCGTCCTCATATGACACTGGCTGTTGTCTCTCCCTAGGTACACGTCCTCATATGACCCTGGCTGTTGTCTCCCTAGGCACCCGTCCTCATATGACTGGGGCTGTTGTGTCTCCCTAGGCCCCCGTCCTCATATGACACTGGCTGGTGTATCTCCCTAGGCGCCCGTCCTCATATGACACTGGCTGTTGTGTCTCCCTAGGCACCCGTTCTCATATGACTGGGGCTGTTGTGCCTACCAAG